CTTTGTTGAGTACATATTGTCAATAGTAACGAATACGCGACGAAATTTTTGGGACATATACGGATCGGGACAGGATCTCATCCAAAAACGGAGAGCCCTAGATTTCAGTTTGAACTTATAAAAAGTTTCGAACATTTCCACACAAAACCCAAAAGCAAACAAACCCCTTTATTAGATTCGGATCAAAGTCCTAAGAGACATGTCCTTATTGAGCATCACACAAAGTTATGGAACATTGTCTAAGAAAGGAAGCTTTTAAGCCAAGTAATGTTTCATCCAGGAATTGAAGCGAGACCAAGCAAGTTCCACCGCGGCTTCGTCTTCATCAGATAGTCCCATGCTTTTCCTTCTGCTCACTCCTTCCGGGCTCCTGTTCAAGAATGCATGCCCATTCCCTGAGTAAATGTGAACCTCGTGTGCTACTCCCGACGCTTTCAGCTTCTCTTCGAGATTCTTTGCTGCCTGCAATGGTTGTAATAATTCTCGGATTACACGATGGGATCTCAGATAGTTTTCAGACAAATTGAGATGTTAATGTAATGGTACATATACCGTGACATCAGAGAAACCGACAAAATTGTCAAGCTCCCCAAAATGAGCCTGAATAGGTGCTTTGGCTTGTGCTGGATCTGCAAGCTCAGAGGAAGGGGTTCCATAGAATCCGACAACAGCATCGACCTCTGGAACCAAAACAGAGCTAGCTATAGCTAATGCACCTCCCATACACATTCCAGTCACACCAACCTGTCACCACAATTATAGTTTACATATATTTTTACAGAATTTACGAATTCTAAAGCAATTTGCTTATTCAACTTTGACACCTTTTTAGAGCCATTGGCTTTTAGCCACTCAACAGAAGCACGGATATCTTTGATGGCACCTGGCCAGTCAAGGCCTTCCATTAGATGTTGTGCTTCTGCAGTATCCAGACCAACCTTTCCTCGGTACAAGCTACAGAAAAATTGTTGTCAATATATACTTAAACAAGTCATATTTTTTCACATTGCAAGAGGCACTCACTCGGGTATAAGGGCTTTGAAACCAGGCTCAAGCTGTGAGATTTTGATAGCATGGTTCTTGATCTCAAAGTCAACACCCCACCATTCTTGAATCACCACAATCCCAGGCGCATCATCTTTACCAACCACATATGCATCAAATGTCTGACCAACAGATAAATTAAAAAAAAGGGATTCTTGAGGAATGCTACCGAAGAATCATCATATACTAAGCAATTAGCTAAACCAGATGCATTTTCACAATCCTTATCAATCACGAATCGCTGATGTTCAAAAGAAACCTGGTTCTTGATGGCCTAAAGAGCCTCAAGCAAAGCTGAACAATGTCGAAAGCTAGATAACCAGACAACAAAAGCACAAAAGTACTAAACTGTTTAATCACTATACTGACCCTTTGACTACATCAAACCAGAAAGAACTACGAGTATACAGAAATCTTCATAGGTGTGCTAAGCAAAATCAATATCTCTTAGTCCCATAATCACATTACCAGTTTCTATACCACAAAACAACACTATACAATCCTGGTCTATTGGGAAACGATCGATTTAATGCAATCAAATACAACGGAAACTAACCTACACAGAAGATTCCGAGACTTGGGAATTAGAAACTATCAAACGAAACAATGATCTTCACTCACCGGAAATAAGAGAAATTTATACTGAATTCACAATACCCATTCACAATCAGACACTATAGATACGAATCAAAGCTTCAGATACGCCAAAAACAACC